AGTGATTAAAATGAGACATGGCAAAGATTGAAAAACTAGGAAGAATGTTTTATGAGAAGCTGAAGGACACAGGAGGGAGAAAAGAAGAGGAAAAGGAGAAAAGAAAGTCAATACTTATCAGTCATGTGGGAGTATGTCAGAAATGTCTCTAAGAGGTGGAGTTTCTCCCCTTCTCTGGATTTTTCTTGTCCTTTTCCTTGCTTTTCTTTTCTATGGTACCTATGCTCACGTCCTCAGTTCTAAAACCTTAGCTCAAAAGTCACCTCCCAGCCAGCCTCTCTGATCATGCGGTGGAATCCTCCTCTGCATGCTCCCTCACCCTGCAACCCATGCTGCTTAGGCCTTCGTTCACTTCTTTACTTGCTTATTGCTATGTATCAGGGCACTTGTTTATTAATTGCCTTTTTGGTCCTTTTCCAAGGCTCTTGCTTCAAACATGAGTTTTTTGAAGGCAGGAATGCACCTATTCTATTTACTCCCAGTCTTCAGCCTGTGCACTCCTCTCTCCAAATGCAGATCACACCATTTTTTCCTGCTACAACTCAAGTGCTACCAACTGAAGGCCCCTCTCCTTCACCTCGCACTCTGAATACAATAATAGTTTAAAGCCTTGACTATTCTCTCTCTCTCTTGCTAGTTGTATAACACTGGGTGAAAAGCTTTAACAGCACTGTGCCTCAGTTTCCTGATCTAAAAATGGAAAGAACAGAGAGGCAGAAAATGGTTACAACTTCTATCAAGATTAAACTAGATTTCTATGTGGGACACTTACAAGAACCAGGAACACAGGAAGTGCTAAATATTTATTATTATTCTTATTCTGTGCATTTGAGCACTTAATCCAAATATTATCTTTTATCTTAAAATTTTAGTTGTTTGTTTTCTGGTCCCTTTTCCTGGTGGGTCACACAATAGTGGGTATAATATGCTTGCATATTCATTGAGTCAATGTATAATCACCTGATTGAACATAATAAAAGAAAAAGTAAAGACAGGCAACAAAGAAAGACAACCAAATGGGTCAATTATCACCAATTAATTAAAAAATTCAGATTCCCCTTGCAGCTCTGTGCCTCAGCTAAAATACTGGTGAACAAGCTTAAAATTCTATGATTTTGCCAGTAAATTCAGCTTATATTTCTACTTAGTCTCAAATATTGCCTGCTTTCAAGTGAACAGGCTTCAAACGTCACAATCTTGGTAATTTTTCCATCCTCTGAGGAATATTTTATCACTATTGGCTTGAAAGCAACTGAAATATTGTCTTATATTTGACTTTACCTAAATGGTAATTCACAGATCCATTGGACTGCTGCCCAGACAACTGAAAATAAAATCAAGAAAAATATTAAACTAAGTAATACTCATTTTCATCTTATAGAAACCGAAGTGATTATGCAGGTGAAATAAAAACTAGGTAGAAAAAGAGCAAATTGTACTTGCGTGCATTTGTTAAATTTAACAAGACTTGTGTCATTGGCTCACCCTCTCAATCCTATAGGATTCCAACAAATTAAACTTCTCCAACTGGCAAGTTAATAGTGTTGATGTAATGTTGCGTGTCCCTTGACAGCTGAACTCAGCAACTATGGTTCCATTTTTCCTTTCCAAAGGATAGCTAAAGAAACATTCCTTGGGCACATGTAATATGTTTGCTACATTTCAAGAAATTTTGTTCACATTTTCCTCTATAGCATCATTTCTTGAGCCATTATTTCTACAGATTTTATTTGTTTGGGTCCAGGTATAAATTTTAGTAAAAAGAACAATGTTTAAAATAACTCAGAATAGTGCAAAAGAGGTTCATGGGTCTGATGTTCAAGCAAAAGAGAGTGTTCATGCCATATGCGTACAGATTTTAGTCTACCATTCAAGTTTTATGCTATTCTATCTATTTTCAATACTGGAGGGTGACTGTGGCTGCCACTGCTCCCTTATTTTTCCCTCTTCCTGCCCCTCCTTTTTGTGCTGCTGCTGTTTCTTCCTCTTCTTCTCCTTCTCCTCCTCTTTCTTATTCATATTCTTCAAATTATCAAAACATTTATTTGACACAAAGGGCAATCCCATTCCAAGTCTATGTTTTAAAAAAAATGAGCTATAGTATGCATCACACTGTGCTGACAATGTGATGAATGTGCCAGATAGTTCAAACCCAGCCCATTAGCTGTAATATCAGAAAAATATTATATAGTATGAACATATCGTAATTTTTCAACTATTCTTCTGGTGGATAATCAGATCCTTTTCAGCTTTGCTTTCTATCAACATGATGGAAGTTAGTATTTTTGTATGTGTGTTTACATATGAAGATCTGGGTTTCATGGGGTAAATTTTGAACATAAGAACCATGAGTCAAAGATCTACCAATATCTATATAGTTCTGGACATAGATCTATATTTACTAATATTTTCCTTTATAAAAGCAGTAGAAATAGTGCCACAATGATTGTATCAATTTAAGTTTTTCTGATGGAAAACTGTTCTTAACATTCAAGAGCAACAAATAATGTCTTTTTTACTTAAAACAACTTCAACTGACAAATGAAATGTAACCCAAATTGAAATTCTTTTCCATTGTTACTATGTTATTTCAAGGATACCTTACTGTATTTTTCAGCAGTGAAACTTTTGATTGGTTTTCCTAAAATTTATAACAATGTTGTGTGAGATTCATCTGCAGTACAAATTGCCATAACTGCACATTTAGTTATATCTGGTAACGTCAGAGCATTACCAATACATCTGGCAGATCAAAGCATTGCTAGTCACATTTCTATTTGGACTGCTTTCATTTGCTCCTAAAATTTTATAATAACCCAAATCTATCAACTTCTTTGACTATTTTAAAATATAAATTGCATTTTTGTGTTGAGCCAGCAAGACTCTTCTTGAATTAGTGTTACAATAAGCCTGTTTTATGAAATAAAAGTTTTTTTCTTTTTTAACTCTAAGCCAGTGGCTTATTGGTTAGTCACTCAAGTATAGCTATTTGATTGGTACAGGCACAAAATATGTCTAGAATAAACCAAAGGGAAACACAGGGATCTAGAGAAGACCATTCCTTTTTTTATTCATTGACTATCAAGTTATTATTTCATATAATTCTTCAACAACCTATGAAATAAGTGCTTACAGGTTAGACTCCAATGTTCAGAGATATGGAGTTCAAGCTACACAGAGAGTAAGTAGGAAAGCCCATATTGTACCCCAGTTATGTTTGATTTTGAGGTCTATAATCTAAGTACTAACACATCCAATTCTCTATCTGACTCATTGACCATAACTCATTTTGCTCTAAACATTCTTGGATCAAATTACATGTCAGCTTGAATCAGCAATCAGTAATGAGACAGACATAAAGCTAAAGTTCCTTTAGCTATAGTACTTCTATACAACTGGAACAAATCTGGTCAGCTCTTGGAGAGGAGAGGGTTATTTCAGGTCCTGCTGAGCTGGCCCCTTTCTGCAGTTGACACTTGTCCTAGAAACTTTGATGACTGGTGGCAGGATTACTTGACATGAAGCATTTTTCAACCTCAGACTTCATCTTACTGTTATGGAAGATATTTATACATCATGTATTAAAGCTAGTCAATAAAAGCTAGATGTTATAGGACTTGGTGGATGAAAAACCACATTCCTTCTCTTTGTTTCTTTAGCTCTGTGGCTTATTTAGAAAACTAACGCCATTTTTTCTGTGAGTTTTCCAAAAGGCATACTGGAAAGTACCTTGCTTAATGAACTGTTTATGAAAAGCAAGGATAGTAAAACTTCAATCCTCATTGTATTCAGTTAATATTGCTCTTGAATGAGCCCTGATGATTCTAGAAACTTTTCAGCAATGGAATGTTTAGGCAAGACGCCCATCATCTTCAGAGATATTTTCTTCAGTGCTCTCTCATGGAATGACACGCTCTGTCATACACTTTTGTGGTCTCATATGAAACACTGTAGAGGGTTTTCCGGTTTTTTTTTTTTTTTCTTCTCTGAATTTGATGGTGAACTGTAACATCAGAATGTATGTAATTTTTAAACTGGTTAACAGGATTTTCTGGTTTCTTTTGGCAGTAAGTGTTTTTAAAGGATTAGACAATGTGAAAATGCAGACTTGTTGAGGTTAAATTAATGCAGGAAGTGGCCTAACTTGGAGAAGTTTCTGGTGAAAATGTACCGGGAGCTTATGGATGGGCTTGGGGAAGGCGCTTCAAAATGGCTAGAGAATCTTATTCTATTGTACTGCCATTCACGGCTTTGGGGAGGAAATAAAGCACCAGTCAGAGCCGGTAGCTTCTGCACGTTGAGGTTAATGCTAAACCGCTGCCAACGGGTCCCTCTACCAACGTGGCACACAGCCGCTACCTGGCAAGGTAAGTTCCGAAGCCAGCAGACCCAGACACCTGAGGCTGGTCCCGAACCACAGAGGTCTGGGTGCTTGTGGTTAGAAGGCTGGGAAGTGGAGGAAGCCCTTAGGCGCCAGGAGCTGGAAAGGAGGGAAACCGCGGAAACCAAAGATGCGCGGCCAGCGGTTTCTCTCGGCGCGAGCGTGCCCACGGCGCGCATCTCTTGAACAGATAGTTGGTGCACAGGGAAAGGCACTGCCACACCTGCGCGCACGCACAGTAACCCGAGCTCACCACACACCCTGAATTCCCAAAACAAGGCACGCAGGGACCTCCTGGTCCAGTGTAGCTCCTCTCTGGGGTCCTTTCTGCTAAGCAGAGGATCGTCCCCCTTTCTTTTCCCCTGTTCCAAGTTTCCAAACCCGGGCTGGCTGCGCTCGGGGCTCCAGGCTTCCCAGGGACGCCCCGGGACCCAGTGGTGCCACAGACGCTCCCCCAGACGCACAGCGACTAGCGCCTTCCAAGCCTCGGGGCAGGACAAAGGGGTCCGAACCGAGCCCAGAAACGGCGGGCTGCGGCGCAGGAGCTCCGAGGCTGCTCCCAAGCGCCGCGGGGCAGCACACCCCGGCCCGCGCCCTCCCGCCCCCCGGGCACTCTCACCATTTGTAGCCTCGGCCGCGCTTGAGCTTGAGGGTGAGCACCGTCTCCAGCACCAGCAGGAGGTTGAGCAGCGCCAGCAGCCAGTACCGCGACTCCTTCATCACCACGGTCACCCGCCAGACCCCGACCAGCGAGTGCAGCAGGAACAGCAGCCGGGTGACCAGGGCGTTGAGGAGGACCAGACCCCCCATGCTGTCCCCGCGCCGCCCGCCCTCCGGCTCCCCGAGCCCCCGAGCGAAGGACCGGCAGCCCGGGACCCAAGGCTAGGTCCCCTGCTCACCCCACCGCGCCCGCGCCGGTAGCGCAGGAGCGCGCTGCTTGCCCCTCCCCCAAACTTCCCAGAACTCCTTAAAGAGGGGGGATCCAGACCCAGCTTCCCCAGGCTGCGGAGCTGCTCTGGGCTCTGGAGCCGTGCCTCCCCGGCTCCCGGGCGCTACTCCCGGCACTGCCTACCCCCGCCCGTCCCGCGCCCGGTCCCCATCGCTGCCTTATCCCCGCCTCAGTCCCCAGGGGTGCGCAGGGTCGCGCCGCTCCCGGAGCTGCCCAGGGGAGGGAGGCGCACGCAGGTCCAGGTGCTGCGGCCGAGCGGGAGCGGGGCAGAGCCCTCGTGGCACCGCCTCCTTATCTTCTGCCCAGTACTTTCTCTGATCCACTCCCACGTTTCGCGGGAACATGCTCTCGGGGTGATTCGAGGCTGGGAAGAAGAAAGAATCCGCTGTCCAAGCAGTTTTAGAAACGCGGTTCCCTCGCAGTTTGAAGAACTGAAACTTCCCAGGACCTGAGAGGGCCAGAGGAGCTGGACTGTCCCAGACTTTCTTGCTGTTCCACGCGGGGAGTGGGCACCCTGGCCACTTTTACTCTTCTGACCCTGTGTTATTAAAACAGAGATGTTCTTTATCAAACCACTATTTCCCCCCGGCCAGAGGAGGGAGAGACACAGGACACAGGGGAAAGTGAGGGAGGAGACAGAAGATAAATTCATGAATAAAATTAGAAGGTGAAGTTCTTGGGTAAGGACCCAGACCCCTGAGATCAGTGACCCTGATCTTTCCAACGCTAAAGTCAGAGGATACTAGAGTCAGTTTCCCAAATCATCTTCATGATCTTTGTTTCTTTGTTTGGCATCGGACATCAGCTCTATTACTATTTCCTTAACATTTTTCTCTAAAAAAACTCAAAGTTTTACTGAAGTAAATTTATTTTTCAAAGAATTTTTCAGTCACGTGTGAACTGAAAGCCCGTGCAGTGGACTGCAGGTAATTACAGAGTAATAAAGATGAAATGAACTCTCACTCGCTATTATCACCTCCACAGCTCTAGGCCTCAGTTTCCCCTTTGTTTGCCATACAGGGAGTTGAAGAAATGATCATCGTATTACTATTGATAGGAATGTCTTGCTCACATTAGTAATACTAACAGAAAAATGGAAAGTGTCTAGTTTATTTAACTCCTAGAAATCAAGTTGAAAAACTGAGTTAAATGACTGTCCTCATTAAGAGACAAAAGAAATCTAACTGCTTAGAGAAAGCTTAGAAGTTATTTTTAGTAGTGAGACCTGGGAGAATCTATTTATTTGCATTTCCTGGTCAGAGCCTGCATTCTCCCACATCTTGCAGGAAACCCAGCAATCATTTCCTGGAGCTGTTTATTGTAGTGCCTTTCAGTGCAGGCGCAGTGATCCACTACCATTGGGCCAGACAAAAGTAGTGGCTGAGGCCTCACTGGGTAGTCAGAGTCCCCGTGCCTGCCAGCTGGCTGCCTGGGCCTGCTGGCTCTGTTCCTTTACTTGGTAGAGCTGTGTCTTTCATATTCATTTTCTTCTGTAAACTGAGTATTCATCCTGTCCATTTATACAGCCATTGGGAGATCAGTGGATTAATCCACCTTAAGTATTTGGTCGAGAGCATTTTGTAGCTATTGGTGATTATTGCTAGGTCCAAGAAAGTCAGTCCAAGGAGCTGCTGTTTTCTTTGATGATCTGAGAGAAGGAAAAGTAGGACAGGGAGCCACAGAACACGACATTCCTAAGGCCTATCAAACTTTTTCCTGTCTAACATGGGAAACACAGGTAGGACTTACTACTTTTTAAACAGGGGAGACACAGGTATAAGGGGAGCAATAGGGCCTCATAGTAAGAAAATATTGTTAAAAAGTGGTAGAAATTACTTGCAAGAAAGCATTTGGGTTTGGAAGAGGGCAATCGTGAGGCTTGGGAGAGTGGGACTTTAGACTGGATATTATCAAAAGGTGGGATGAATTTTATGACCGAGTGTCTTGATAAAACAAATAGAGAAATGTTTGATCACTTCTGTGTCTTGTACCATACTCATGTTTTGATTGTTTTCAAACATGACTTTTTTTATTTTAAAGAGAAAAAAAATAATAACAAAGATAAAAACAAAACAACAAAAAACCAATAAAAATAATAAAGAATGTCAAAACAATATGATAGGAAATTAATAATGGTTGTTATCTTACATATTGTTATCTTCAACAAAGTTGCTCAGATTACCAGATGTAAGAATGCAAGATTGATCAAACAATTAAAGAGAATAAAAAATAATAAATAAAATATTAGAAACAATACAGAGTTTCAGTACTCAAGTCAAATGTGATTATAAATCAGTTCTACTTGTGTCTCGATCTATCACAGTCACGGACTTGACCCTGTTTGGTGTTGTGATACATTTTTATGTCCAAGAGTAGGTTTCCAAGTCCTGAAGGATAGTGGCAAACCAGTCTTCTGCTGTCAGGATTTGTTCCTCCTCATGCCTACTAGGAAGGGCTTTCAGGAAGAAGGTGGGAGGTGTAGCTGACTTCTTTCAAATATCACTGCTTTTCCATATTTTGAATGTTTAGATCAGCATAGGTTATCTTATCTCTGAATCTGAAAAACAAAGCTATCATTAAAAAGAATTTAAATGTTATTCCTTTTCAGTTTTTTCCTTAGCCCATTTAAAAAGACTGGAGGCTTAGAGAAATATTTTGAGACCTCCAACCTAATAGCTCAATAATCGTTTAAAAACAAGAAAAAAATGAAGCAATTAAGAAAAATCTGCGCTTGTTGAAAAAGCATTCTCAGCCACATGCAGCCAGTTCTTTGGTACAGACTGGGTTACCGGAAAGCAGAAGTGACTCATCCTGCTGTCTCAGAGGCCACCAGTCACCAGACCTTGCTTCCCTTCAGGATTCAAAGTGAACATCAGGCGTTGTCAGGCTTCTCTGAGTTAGAGTGGGTTGGGTCTTAAGGAGACTTTTTCAAGCTAGCACAAATAAAATAGTAGTTATTGGAAGGGAATGCATGGTCTAAAAATGGAGATGGAAGCCCTTGGAGTGAAGAACAGGGAGTATGATAAAATGGGCCACAGTCAACTGGAGCTGGAGCCCAGTTATGGGCTCAGCCGCACTAGGAATCTCATGTTTGCAGTTCACAGTGTTTTGCAGAACAGCTCTTTGACACTGTTTGCCTCCAGCTAAATTTCTCCAAACTGAATTCAAATCCCAGAGACAAGGAGCTTGAATGACTTCTTTAACTTCGAACACCAGGTCACATAGTGAGCCTCTTCACAGTCTGAGGATGGACTGCAGTACAGTCCTTACCATCCCTGTGAGAAACCAATCTAGTATTGCTTTCTCCATGGTTCACCGTGAGTTTCTGGGCAGAGAAGTATGAGGAGAAGAATAAGGATGGCAGGCATGCTGACTGACACTTCCAGTACCATCCAGCTGTGGGTTGACATGCACACATACTCTACCTGCAATGTCGAAGGTGCTCTTGACTAATGCCATCTAAATACTAGTGTGCAGTGTGACCTAACAGCAGGGATGCAATGCAAAATCACACCTCCATCCAGACAGTGGGAAACCTACAGGTTGTTCTCAGAAGCCACAATCCCTGGTGATCACCAAGCTTAGATCCATTTTGATGCTATCCAGGCATCACTATTCATCACTATTCTGTGTGTGTGTGTGTGTGTGTGTGTGTGTGTGTGTGTGTGTGTAAGTAATACAACACATGGAAAATTCCATCAATAGAGCAAGGTACAAGTCTAGTCTTCAGAGGAATTTTAACAATTATTCACTCTGAAAAAAAAGAGATCAAAGAGGATATCAGGAAATGGAAATCTATTTCTTGCTCATAGATAAGAAGAACTAAGTATTATAAGTGAAAATGGTCATACTCTCAAAATTTTTGCACTGATTCAATATGATCCCAACTAAAATACTATTAGTATACGTCACAGATCTAGAGAAAACATTTCTAAAATTCCTCTGGAACAAGAAGAGGCCTAGTGCATGGTACTGGCACAAAGAAACAGACCTAAAGATCAGTGGAACGGATTAGAAGATGCAGACACAACTACAAACACCTTACCTTTGACAAAGGGGCCAAACATATTCAATGGAAGAAAGATAGCCTCTTTAATAAATGGTGCTGGAAAAACTGGCTTTCCACATACTGAAGACTAAAAACTGGCTTTCCACATACTAGACCCACGTCTTTCACCACGCACTAAATTCAAAATGGATCAAAGATCTAAATATTAAAACAGAAATACTAAATGTGTTGGAAGAGAAAGTAGGTAAAAATCTCGAAGACATAAGGGTAGGCAGAGAGTTCATGAGCAAAAACCAAACTGCACAGAAAATACTTCAAAGAATCAACAACTGGAGTTTCATTTTATTGAAATGTTTCTGCACATCAAAAGAAATCATCAATAGAGTAAAAAGAAAACCCATGAATTGGGGAAAAAGTTTAGCCAACCACCCCTCAGACAAAAGACTTCTATCTAGGACATAGAAAGAATTTTAAAAAACTAAACTCCCAAAATTCAAAGACCCAATCCAAAACTGGGCATCTAAGATGAATACACACTTCTAGGATGAAAAAATACTAATGGCAAAAAAATACATGAAAACATGTTCAACATCATTAGTTATTCGAGAATGCAAATTAAAACAACACTGAAAATTCCATCTCAAACTAGTAAGAATGGCTCTCATCAAGAAATCAACCAATAACAAATGCTGGAGAGGCTGTGGGGAAAAAGGAACCCTACTGCACTGCTGGTGGGAGTGTAGATTGGTGAAACCACTGTGGAAATCGGTTTGGAGATGCCACACAAAACTAGGATTAGATGTCCCACTTAACCCAGCGATTCCCCTTCTGGGTATTTTCCCAGAAGAATTAAAAACATCATACCACAGTGATATATGTGCACCCATATTTATAGCAGCACAATTTGTTATAACTAAATCTTGGAAACAACCCAAACACCCATCAACTGAGGAATGGATAAAGAAGATGTGGTATTTTTATACAATGGAGTATTACCCAGTTATAAAAAAGATAAATTCAAGGCTTCTGTAGGCAAATGGATGTAACTAGAGACTATACTTATAAGTGAAATAAATCGGACACACACGTGTAAACATCATATTGTCTCCTTGGTGTAGGAACCTGAAAGAGCAAATAAAATCCAAAACATATAATAGATAATATGAAAGGGAAGGAAATTGCTCAAAGGAAGGAAAAACTGGGATGAAAGAAAGAAGAAAAAAGAAGGAAAGCAATCTATCTATCTATCTATCTATCTATCTATCTATCTATCTATCTGACTATCTATCTGTTTATCTATCTCTCTATTTATCTGGGATAATTGTACTGCTGGTGTCTTATGGTATA